CAACCAACCAACCAACCAACCAACCAACCAACCAACCAACCAACCAACCAACCAACCAACCAACCAACCAACCAACCAACCAACCAACCAACCAACCAACCAACCAACCAACCAACCAACCAACCAACCAACCAACCAACCAACCAACCAACCAACCAACCAACCAACCAACCAACCAACCTAACCAACCAACCAACCAACCAACCAACCAACCAACCAACCAACCAACCAACCAACCAACCAACCAACCAACCAACCAACCAACAACCAACCAACCAACCAACCAACCAACCAACCAACCAACCAACCAACCAACCAACCAACCAACCAACCAACCAACCAACCAACCAACCAACCAACCAACCAACCAACCAACCAACCAACCAACCAACCAACCAACCAACCAACCAACCAACCAACCAACCAACCAACCAACCAACCAACCAACCAACCAACCAACCAACCAACCGAAAGATGGGCCTTTCCCTTTAAACCCCACAAACAGTCGAATCCTTTTTTTGCCGTGGCAATCAGCAAGGAAACGCGGACGTGTACAATGGGCTGCACACCATCCAGGTGCGTCAAGGGCTGAGCGCCCCAAACGTTGCGGCGATTTCGTTTGTAGGGGTTGGAACAGTTATAGTTAAAGAGGGGTTTTCAAAGTCACTTGTTTGGGGGGGACATTTTGGCCCACATGTATTCTTTGCAGGCCATGCTTTGCCATACCAGGTTGGAATCCCCTGCACTGCAAAGCTGTCATGGGACCGACCCACAGCGATCCGAAGCCGCAAAGGCGTTCTGGCTTCAAGACGTTTGAACCCCTCAACCCGCTCGGGCTCCTGAAGAGATACCTGCTTTGGCCATTTGAAAGGGTCACCCACCAGCTTTGGGGAAATGTTCAGAACTAAATTCGAGAACGCCTGCAGCAACTCGTTTGGCAATGGCTAAGTCCCGACCCCTTTAAATTCTTTCGGCCCTTGGATTTAGTTTTGCGCAGCAATCCAGGGATCTATCCGGAATCTACCCCAACTGATCGATTTGGTCAAGCTGTGACCCCTTGAGGTCCCTGAAATATGGGTGTATAGTCTTCTTAGTTTAAATCTTAGCTGAAGTGTAAAGAAACTCGATTTGACAGACCATGCTGTGTAAATTATCATCTTAATAGAATCATTCAAATTTTAATTCTATTATAGCATACAAGTGGCGTCTGGATTCATTCCTTATCAAATCATGCTTCAACTGTAACTTAATTGTAATTTTCTATTGGGAAAGGATTCCCCTCTAGATTGTAAAGGTAAGATGTAATTTCCAGTAGGATTCTGAGCAAGTATTTCCTTATTGAATCCCATTTAAATCCTATTCAAACGGAATTTTAGAGAGCAGCCGTTGGTGGAGACGTGAATTGAGAACAACAACAAAACACTGTGCTTTGCGGTGTTTTCTGACCGCGGTAGAGCTGGGACTGGCACCATTTCGGGACCTCCTTTCCTTCTGAAATCTACTTAGTATCTTTATCATCAAATTTTACTCAATTTCTAGCTGAAATAACATGCAAATTGTTAAGGGACGACTCCAATCATGTTTTTTAGTTTTTACCTTAAATGCTACACGGGAGTGCCTTTCCATAGAATGGACCTTACAAATCAGTCAGCTTCTAAACAACATGCGCTTTAAACATGTTCGGGACCTCTAGTTTCTTTCCTTCTGGATTCTACTTGATATATTCATCAAGTTCTAGTTAATATCTATCTCACATTAAATATATTTTAATAATAAGGAACAAATCCAAAAAGATCATTTTCAGTTGAAACTATAATTTAAACGATGAGTATTCTATTTCAACATAAATGCTACACAGGATCTCATTTTCAATCGAATTGTTTTAGCAAAACAGTAGACATTTAAACAACATGTGTTGAAGCATTTGGGGACCTCTATTTTCTTTCTTATGAACTCTACTTAATTCATATTATCAAACTCTACTCGCATAATTCTGATTAAAATTAAGCAGAATGTAGCAAGGAACGAGTCCAACCAGAGGAAACCATCTCAAACTTAATGTACTGGGGCTTGGAGGTGAACTACACCGCACTTCACAGAAGCTCTTGAAACAGGCCGGAAGAGCTACAGTACAAAAACAGCTCGAGACAACCAACACAAAACATATTATTGCCCCCCCCCCCCCCCAAGTCAGGACAGCTGATCGAGTCTTGTTTGTGTGCTTTTTGCTGGTTTTCTCGAGGTTTTTCACACGTTTCCAAAGAAATACGAAAACCTTGAGAAAACCAAAAAACAAACAAAGACACACAAACAAGACTACCCCCCCCCCCGCCCGCCCCCAAGTCAGGACAGCTGACACAGTCTTGTTTTTCCGGTTTTCTCGAGGTTTTTCACTTTTCTAGAAAAATAAAACGCACGCTCAGTGTGACCTGTTCTGTGTTTAAAGGGAAAGCAGCAGCACAACCACGGCCATTTTGGGGGTCCCCCAAAAACAAAGCCACACTCATTTGCTTTAGCACAAGACGGATCGCAAACGGACCGGACATTGGATGTTTCCCCTGGCCAGGCTGCTCTTTCTGTGTTTCTTCGCTCGCGTCAATTCTGTCGGGGATGGACATCAGTCGGCGTGACTCCAGTGGTTTCTGGGTGGGACTCCAGCACTCCCTCCAAAGATAGGGGCTACACCGCCTCGGTGGAATACGGCGAAAAGGGGTTGCTCCAAGCCTTGACCAAGCCCTTCCATTTGTCCTTAAAAGTAATTCCGTCTTATTTTCTCTTGTTGGTTGCAAAAGCAATCCATCGCTAGATTCCTTACCGTTTTCAAGGACATATTCGCAAATGGAAGAATTTGGCTTTGCTTTCCAGGGCCGCCACGTTTCTACTCTGCGAGGGATTTCGGGCTGGGTTCAAGGGATGAGCAACGAGCAGGAGATTACTATTTACCCACTTACCAGCGAGCAAACGAGCCAAATGGATATGTCCAATCACCAGCCAGAATACTTGATTGCTATTGGCTTGGATCTTGGGACTTTTCCATTGGACCCACAAAAAGTTAAACCTCTTGTAGAGGGCCAAGAAAAGGGGTAGTAGGACCCTTGAACACTTTAACTACACTTTAGCATAAGAACCACGAGTTTTGTCTAAAATCAAGGTCGTTTTAGAATGCGAACCCTATCATACATACGTGCGATGCGTTACCCTTGTGAGGCTTACTTCAGAGTCACTGGATTTGTCCTCCCAAAGTTCCAATTGACTTCCCAACATGCCACTTTTGGAGTTCCCACTTCCCCGGGTGCAAGTAGATTTCTAAACCCAGTGAACAAAATTTTAGGCCGGGCTGTTCCAATCCGCCAGATACTTGCCTTTCGAAACGATTCCGCCCTTCCCGGTTTCCCAATGATGGAAGTCATCGGATTAGCCACCCCTCCGCTTGAAAACAGCCTTATTTGGCGGCATTTCCACAGCCTCAGACAGGAGAGCAGAATGCCTGAAGCCAAGCAACGGCTCACTTCTGGGAACCTCCTGAGACGAAGTAAATTGAGGGGCTGCTGTTCTTTTCAGAGCCAAGGATCATCAAAACCGCGCAGTTTCCGGTGGGTTAAGCCATTTAAGATCGCTTTCGTGAAGGCTTGAAGGGATCCACTCACGTGAGACGAAGTAAATGGGACTCCCTTGGCCCAGGATACTGGAGCCAAGGAACCGTTTTCGGAGCCAGGCATTAAGATCCGTCGGAGCCAAGGAGCGAAGCCACTCAGTTTTCGGTGGGTTGGAAACGATTGCCAGGGCAGACCCGGCAAGCCTTACTACACCTTGCCGGTGATGGGCACCGTGAAGCTGTCAGCAGGATCGACTCGGATCTGATAGGAAATGGGTTTGAGGGTACCCTGTAAAAGAACATCCACCCATGTTTGGAGGTGCCAAAAGGCTTTGTTGTCTGACCCTGGTTGCTTGCTTAAGGGCAAAAGGACGCCAACTAGTATGGGATTCCTCATTTTGAGACCACCGCTTCTGATTCGGTGAGCTGAGCTGGCTCTCGTGAAGCTTGCAAAGGGAACTGTGCCGCGATCCGTCACCCACCCTCTGGATTTGTTTTTTGGGGGGGAGGGGTTGGGAACCCTGATGGCCGTCTAGGTCTCCCAGTAGTGCCCTTTTACCCTTTTTTTACTAAAATAGACTGCAGAAAAAGAAACGGCAAACGAGAACTCCCCCCCCCGCGGCTGCCTTGATTTTCAAGAGGGTCTGGCTCCAAATTAAAGAGCTGGGGTTACGCGGGTTTTAGTCTTTGGTTCCATTTGCCAAGGTGCCATTTTGGTACCACTGTTTTGAGCCAGCCAAGCTAAGAGACTGGAGGAAAGGCCTGGTTGCGGACACAGTTTTTGGGTAATACGGAATTAGGTAAACGAGGTAGGCACACCCCCAAAACGGGGACCCCGTTGACAAACGAGGTCAATGCGTCCAAATGAGTGGTTGGAGAACGCGGTGGGACCATCCAACTTCTTCCCCATGATGTTTTCCTGATATGCATTATTCTTGCTGACTTTCCACTCAGCTAACCCCTGGTTGGTTTGGACTGGTGGTTTCGGGATTTGAGCCCCTGACCTTTGTAGGTACGTGGGAAACCAATTCCGCAACACCTCACCACTCCAAGCCTGACCCACGCCAACCGAGACTTTGAAGACACTTGCCGTGACTTGCGAGGCCTTTGGTCCCAGTGCTAGAAACATCCCTCGAACATTAGTTGCCAGAAGCTGTAGACCGCTCTTGTTTTAGGTCCAGGGTGCGCTGGAGACCAACCCCCCCCCAAAAAAAAAGAAAGTCCTAAGAGCGTCCTGGCGTAAAAGCTCCCAAACGCCATCGTGTCCGAATTTTGGTTTCATTCTATCCTCTCGCAACCTGCCAGCTGCCCAGGGCAGTACGTGTCCTGCTGGGCCTACAGCAACTCGGACACCTCCTGGTCCATCCAGCGCGAGAGCGGCTTCTCCGTGGCCTTCCTGGGGGATGCGCCGCGCTTGGCACGCGAGACGCGCGAGCGCGCGAGCGGCGGATTTGAGGGGTCAAGGGGTCCGGCCGATTGGGATCCCGAGGCGGCGATAGGGAAGTGAAAACATTGGGGATCCCCGCAAGGAAACTTGCGAGAGGCGGATGGTTGATTCAGTGATTCCATTTCTTTCAATTCCTGCCTATCGCGCCAGCAAGCTTTTCCAGACCGGAGCGCAAGCGCTTTCGAAGGGAGGCTTTCCAACACAAGTACACACACACAAACACAAACACAAACACACACACACAAACACAAACACAAACACAAACACAAACACACACACAAACACAAACACAAACACAAACAAAAACACAACACACAACACACAACACACAACACACCACACAAACACAAACACAAACACAAACACAAACACAAACACAAACAGAAGCACAAACACAAACACAAACACAAACACCAACAACCACAACCACAAAGCCACAAGACCACAAACCCACAAACCCACAAACACACAAACACAGACACACAAACACACAAATATATTAAATATACAAATATTAACATACAACATATAACATACACTGCTATTAAATATACAAACACATAAACATACAAACCTATTAAACTGTATAAATATATATAAACATAGATATTATTAAATATATAAATATAATATTAAATATTATTAAATATATTAAACACATAAACATATAAACATATTAAATATTATTAAATATACAAATATTATTACAAATATTATAAATATATAAGAATATTAAATATATAAATTACATATAAATATTATTATTAAATATACAAATACATAAATATAAATATACAAAATAAACATAAAATATTAAAACATACAAACATAATAAACATACAAACATATAACACATAAATACATAAACATATTATTATTATTATTAAATATTATTAAATATTATTAAGACACAAATAATATTAAGTATAAATAAATATAATAAATAAATACATAAATATTATTAAACATTACTAAATATGCAGACAACATTCATACAAACACAACCAAAAAACAGACAAACACACCAGAGTCCTTCCGAAATACATACACATGAACAGGCCTCGTAGTAGGAAAACTGTGTTGTGGCCATGGCCCCAGGAAGGCCTAAGTGCGAGCAAAAAACGCATGTTGTTACTGCAGGCAGTTTGCATGTTCTTTTCGACTTCAAGTTTAGTCTTTGACGGTCGTGTGGATTTCAACTCAGGCTGGTGCAGAGTTTGGCAATCACATCTTGCGCGGTGTTGTTTTGTTTGGTCACTCGGGACGAACCACAATGGTCCTTGGGCCCGGGTCATGCCCCACCGGGGTTCTCACCCGTGGTGGTGGTGCTGGGCTCGTCAGCCACGCAGTCTGCAATGGCCTTGACCTCAGCGAATTTCGCCCGTGGACTACATGTGGGCATAGCCCAAAACGAAATAGTTTTAGTCCACGTTGGCGGGCAATCAACAAATGGCACCCTGTCTCTGATTATGCTAAAACCCTAACAAGCGGAAATGAACGTGGTTTAGGACTTCCAGTTCCTTTTGAACATCTTGCCCAGAGCTTCGAATGTGACGCATGGAGCCAAAGTCCATTGAACCCCAGTTGGTCAGGGGAATCCTTTTTTGATCCATTGTCTCCGCGGGAAATTCACTACAGAACAAATGAAACAGTTGTGGAAATGCTTTGTCCCGGCAATGGATTGCTACCTCGGCCACAGTCCAAGCTGTATGCCCATTGCCTGGTCTGCAGCACACGGCCTGAGGGGGAACGCAAAGTAAGTGTTGAGCCAGACCAAGATGAGCCACTGGAATCAGGGAAGGTTATAGCCCGTCAAGGCCCCAGTCACAGGCATTGAATTGAAACAATCAGTTACGAGCAGGGGCCCCAATGCCTCTGATCGCATGGCAGCCTCCAGCAACAGCGATGGGAATCCCAGCGACAGCGATGACAATCCATTCTGTCGCTCGCCCGTTTTCATTGCGAGCTGGACCCCGATCTGAGCATTGGCGAGGCGGGGGACTCACACGCAGATGACCCGGTGGTGGACCCTGTGCCTGGCTCAGCCGCTCCATGTCTTCCAAAGCCATCTATGTCTGCATCCTTCGCTTTGCAGGTACTCCCTTGTTTTCCTGTGAGCCGATGGCAGCCGCGCGCTTTTTGGACAAGTTGGAGCGCCAGGCGTGCGTGGTGCTGGCAAACATGTACAGCAAGATAGACGCCCTGTCTGGCGAGCAGAAGAAAGCTCTTCGAAAGTGGCTGCAGGCACCCCAGGCAGACAAGACGGACATCACATCTCAGATTGTGGCAGGTTTGTCACATGTGCCTGCGCCAACTATCCACAACGCGGTGAAAGAGATTGTAGTCGGGCGGCGTGAGGCGCCTGCAGCGGCGCCGAAGGCGGCTCCTCAGTCAGCTTCGCGATCATCATCTGCGCGGCCAGGGCAGCGACAACCTGCAGACAGAGCCTGCAGAAGTCGGGCTTCGCAACGCCACCCGGGCAGCGCTTTGCTGCTTGACCTTGGGGCGGCCGAAAACGCACTACATCGGCGACCTGCACTTGATCAAGCTGTCCGGTGGCGACGTGGGGCGTGGACACCATTCTTGGAACTTTGTCGACGAGAATGGACACAACACGCTTTCACAGACACGGCCACTTTTTCCTGCCACAAACTGACCGTAAAGGTAAACAAGCGCAAGTGTCCATGAGCGTTCTTTCAAAGCCAACTCGCAAAGGGAGCTTCTCTGCCAAGGGCGGCCATCCACTTTTTTTTCGACCGCAGTTTGGGTTGCATGTGCCTCCGTAAGAGCGGTGTCTTTGTTCCACCCCGCCCCCCCCCCCCCCAAAAAAAAAGGCAAACAAACCAACGCTTGCCCAGACAAACCAACAAACCCCTTCAACAAACGGATGGTTCTACAAAAACTTGGAGTCTCCAATAATCTTTGCTTAAGGAAACGCAAAGGGAAACATTTGTTTGGCGGCCCCGACTTGCGAAACCCAAATCCTCAGCGCTTCGCCTGCAACAGTCGCTCAGCAAGCGAAGGCACACGAGCCTCCACGTCAGTCGCTGGCGCGACGTGTTCGTGCTTGACCAAGGTCCACTCAAGCCCCGGCTTCAGTTGGGCAGAATTTTTGCGACACGTGTGGAACCAGAAAGTGGTCCACATTGCATTGCGAATTGCAAGTCAAAAGTTTGGGAACTGCTGGATTTGCTACCAGTGATCAAACAGGTTAGCCTCAAGGACTTCAGGGGAAGGAAGAAACTCGAAACAAGGCTACGTGTCTCTGATGAAAAGGTTAGGGCCTGTTTCTTGGGCTTTCGAGGAGTTTGAAGGCTCGCAAACCAAATGAAGCATTTTGACTATACTGCTTTTACATTTTGACCAGACCGCTGCCTTGATCAAAGGCTTCCACTCCGGGAAAGCCAATGATTTTCGCCAACTCAACAAGCTCGGCAAGGGGGTCTGGTGTATTCCCCATGAAACTAACCCGAAACGGGCGCTTCCAACACAAACAGACCCATTTTAGATATCTTCAGCTTCAGAAGTTTCCCTGCCATGGTCCGTGCCACTTGCGATGGGCCGAGCGCTATTTTCGCCTGATATAACGCGCCGCCCCCCTCGTGCCAGCGGACGCTCCGCGTATATACGCCTGATACAAGGCGCCCCCCCTCAACGGACGCTCCGCGCTATATACGCCTGATATAGCGCGGAAGACCCTTTACCATGTCCAGTTGCCATCTCCGGTGCACAATTGAGCACCTTGTTCCGCAGCAAATTGTGCACCGGAGATGGCTACTGGACGTGGGGCGAGGTCTTCCGTGCAATACTCGGCGTATACAGCGCGAGTGCTCGTGCCAACATACGCTTCAGATAAGGCCCCCCCGCACGCCAGCGGATGCTCCGCGCTATATACACCTTATATAAGGCGGCGCCCCCCACATGCCAGCGGATGCCCCGCGCTATATACGCCTGATATAAGGTGCCGCCCCCCCGCCCGCGCGCCAGCGGATGCTCCGCGCTATATACGCCTCAAGGAAAAAGCGCCACCCCCCGCGCGCCAGCGGATGCTCCGCGCTTTGCACGCCTGATATGAGGGCACAGGCCTTCCCCAACATCTGAGTGTAGGGGTCATTCCCTCCTTCCCAGCTCAAGCAGCGCAGATTAAACATCATCAAGACAACCAACAAACGACAGATCCGATGTTGTTCCCGCACTTACGTCGCCTGGAAGGCTTTTTCTGGGACCTTGAGGGGCAGCGTCGCCACCGGAGTCTGCGTGCAAGCGCTTCGGTCGGCGCCAGACTCCCACCCTGAACACTGCACGCACATGCTCAAAATTCATTAATTATTTTGGTTTCAGGAGGAAGGCTTTCTTCGGGCAAAACCCCATTGGGCACACAAGAATCACAACGCTCGAACTTTCCCACCCCACACAACAGGACTTCACCACACCGCTTGGAACACCACAGGCCAGAAACCGGCACACTCACATCTGGGAAGTTATTTTTGACAGCGGCTGACATTGGAAGTTCAGCGTCCATTGCGTATCAGGGTCAAAAGATAGAAGAGAGCAAGCAACGCGCGACCCCTTCCCCACTGACACACTTACATCAGGGAAGTTGTTTTTCATAACGCTTGACATTGAAAGTTCAGCGCGCCCTTGCACTTTGCAATCCAGACAAGAAGGAACAAGCATCGTGTTGCCCTTGCCTCATTGGCGCGCTCGCATCAGGAAGGTTGCTTTTTGTCAACGTCTGACATTCAAAGTATCACGCGGTCCTTTTGCACCGTTGAAAAGATAGGCCTGGGTCCCCTCCTCCAGTCCCCAGCAGCCTGCACTTCCGGACAAGATGATGTCCAGTGGTGTTCGCCTTTCGCAGCAGAGGAACATGAAATATGGGCTTGGCTTCTGTTGAGGGCGAATAGCAGTGAATCGTGGCTTTGGTGGGATCGCAGGAAGGTCTGCAAATGTCCAAC